TGTATGAGGATGTTGCCAGGACCAGTAGGCCTGAGTTATAAGGCGAGGTTGGCCAGAATAGGACTTTATTCCTTGGAATGGAGGAGAATGAGGGGTGACCTTATTGAGGTATATAAAATCATGAGGGGAATGGATAGGATGAATGCGTATAGTATTTTCCCAGGGATGGGGAATTGAAAACTAGAGGACATCGGCTTAAGCTGAGAGGGGAAAGATTTAAGAAGGACCTGAGGGGCAACCTGTTCATGCAGAGAGTGCTGTGTATATGGAATGGGCTGTTAGAGAAAGTGGTTGAGGCAGGTACATTTAAGCAACATTTAAAAAAAATTTCAGGTAGGTACATGGATGGAAAGGATTTAGAGGGTTATAGACCAAATGTGGGCAATTGGAATTAGCTGAGTGAGCATCATTGTCAACATGGACCAGTTTGGGCCGAAGGGCCTGTTTCCATGCTGTACGACTCTATGACTGTATCACTCAAAATGTGAAGGAAATGAAAGAGTGAAACTGTAAGCAGCTTTCAGTGAATTGTAGAAATGATGTAGCAGTGATAACTAAAAGCTTCAATTGCCTAAAAACAACCAAAAGACAAGATGACTGGAGAATTTCTAAAAGGTACGCAGGAGAACTTGCTCGCAAAACAAAGCAAATTAAGTAAGAAGACTTTGCTGGGACTAGTTCTAAGGAATGAAGTAGGGCAAGCAAAATATTTTTCAGTGAGAGAACATCTGGATATTACTGAGCATAATATAATTGGTATTAAAATATTTATGAAAAAGCAGTGATACAAATCAAAGGTGAAAATGGAAGAGAGCCGCTTTTAGTGATTTGAGAAGCAGCTTAGCACAATGGACTGGACAAAATAGATTGCTGTGGGAACCAATACATGAGTTGGAGCTTGGGTGTAAACTAAACAATTTTTATTATTCCCTCATGAAATGCGGGACATGGGATTTGCTCACTGGCCAGCTTTTATTGTCCATCCCTAGTTGCCCTTGAGAAGGTGGTCGTGAGGTGCCTTGAACCATTGCAATTGATGCGCTGTAGCTAGACTGACAATGCCCTTATGGAGGGAATTCTGCAAGGCGAAAAGATGTGAAACAAAGGAGAGTAGGAAAAAAAGGGTTATACCATCAACACTTACAGTTTTCACAACTCTTAAAAAATATTTTCCTTTTCATTTCTTAGTCGCAAAGTGAATACCTTTCCACTGTCCTCCATCTGTTATCTTCTTGTTGCCCACTTAGTTAATCTTCAGCCTTTCTGTATCTTCCGTGCAGCTTACCTTAATATCTAATTTTGTGTCATCGGCTCACTTAGACACATTCTTCTCTGTCTCTTCATTGAAGTCATTAATATAGATTTTAACTAACTGAGACCCCACCACTGATTCTTGTTGCACACAACTAATCACAACCTGACACCTTGAAAGTACCCTGCTGTATCCACTTCTTGCCTCCTGTCCATTAATCAATTCATTATCCATGGCTAACCTATTCCCCCACAACCCCTTGAGCCCTTATTTTGCTGACGTGGGGGGAGGTGATGGCATAGTGGTATCTTGCTTGACTAGTAATCCAGAGACCCAGGTAATTCTCTGATGGAATCTGAATTCAAAAAGTATCTAGAATTTATTGGTGGCCATGAAATCATTGTAGACTGTCATAAAAACCCAAATGTTTCACTCATGTCATTTCGGGAAGGAAATCTGCTGCCCATACCTGGTCTGATCTACATGTGACTCCAGACCCACTGCAATATGGTTAAACTCTAAACCATCCATTGAAATGTCCAATCAAGTCATTCAGTTGTAAAAAACTACTAAAACATCTTCACGAAATGCAACTGAATGGACTACCTGACATAACCAGTAACATAGGTGCATCTGCGCCTAATGGAGTGCAAGACGGCACCTCACCCACTGCGTTTTCAAGGGCAGTTGGGCATAGGCAATAGATGATGTACCAACCAGTACATTCCTTGAATGAATATTAACAAAATAATAATTTCTTCTATAGTACCTTATAAAATTACTTTTGAAAATCCAGGCATACCATATCTACTGCTGCTTCCTAGAACATAGAACAGTACAGCACAGTACAGGCTCTTCGGCCCACGATGTTGTACCGAACTTTTACCCTAATCCTAAGGTCTATCTAACCTCCACCCCTACCTTATACTATCATCCATATGACTATCTAATAGCCGTTTAAATGCCCCTAATGAGGCTGACTTCACTATCCTTTCCGGCAATGCATTCCACGCCCCTACCACTCTCTGAGTAAGGAACCTACCTCTGACGTCTCCCCTGTATCTACCTCCACTCACTTTAAAACTATGCCCCCTCGTAATAGCTACCTCCACCCTTCCTCTTTATCTAGCCCACTGGTTGCAAACTCATAAAGATTCTCATAAATTCTAATAAATTCAACAAAGTACTCAGTGCAGGGAAGGTTAAGGGAGATACGATAAAGTGTGTTAAAAATTAGGAAGGGTTTTGTTACCGTATGTAGGGAGAAATTATTTTCTCTGGCGAGTAAATCTGGAACTAGACACCATACATTTAGTTGGTAGAATTTCTCAAAGGGAAATAGAAAATTTCTTCATTGTATTCTTAATATCTGGAATTCACTGACTGAAAGGACATCAAAGAGTCATAGAGTTGCACAGCGTGGAAACAGAGCCTTCAGTCTAACTCATCCATACTGAACAGATATCCTAAATTAATGGAGTTCCATTTGCCGGCATTTGGCCCTCTAAACCCTTCCTATTCATGTACCATCCAGATGCCTTTTGTAAGGTGTAATTGTACCAGCGTCCACTACTTCATCTATCAATTCCTTCCATATACGCACCACCCTCTGCGTGAGAAAGGTGCCCCTTAGATCCCTTTTATATCTTTCACTTTAAACCTATGCCCTCTAGCTCTGGACTCCCCAACCCTGGAAAAAAGACTTGGCTATTCACCCTATCCATGCCCCTCATGATCTTATAAACCTGTACAAGGTCACCCCTCAACCTCTGATGCTCCAAGGCAAAACGCCCCTGTCTATTAAGCCTCTCCCTATACCTCAAACCCTCCAATCCCGGCAACTTCCGTGTAAATTTTTGCTGTACCCTTCAAAGTTTAACAAAATCTTAGCTATAGCAGGAAGACTAGAATTGAATGCAGTACTCCAAAAGTGGCCGACCAATACTGTACTGTACAGCCACATCATGACATCCCAACTCCTATACTATATGTACTGGCGAATAAAGGCAAATGTACCAAACACCACCTTCACCACCCTGTCTACTGTGACTCCACATCCAAAGAATTATGAACCTGCACCCCAAGGTCTTTTTGTTCGGTAGCACTTCCTAAAACCCTACCATTAAGTGTATAAGCCTC